TGTTACACACTGTCTATCAGTAACTGTTCTAGCCGTACTAAAACAATAAATATATGTTACACACACTGGCTATCAGTAAGTGTTCTAGCCGTACTAAAACAATAAATATATGTTACACACTGTTTTGCAGTAAGTGTTCTGTTGGTACTAAAACAATAAACATATGTTACTCACATACATATAGAAAGACGGATATATTTATTTATTCATTCATGTTGATATCTGGGTTAATAAATATTACTGGATGTAGCTTCAAAGATTATGTGATCGGTCAAACAGCTGAAATGCACCAATTCATATTTAATGATATTAGAAGGAAAATGTACCTCAACGCCATTCCACATGTAGTGGACGTCATGCGGCGACGGGTGCGCGGGCATATTCACGTGAGCATGGTCAGCCATCATGGACATCCAATGTACCAGGCCAGACGAGGGTGACACTGGCCGCACGGAAGCAGCTGGGCTGGCGCCTGTAAAACCAGCTGACTTAACATAAGTGTCCGAAGGAGGAGGCCACACCAAGGCCGTTTTCTATAATTAGGGGAAAAAATGAATGATTGTAAGAAAATTAACAATATATAAGACGATACATTCGTCAAAATATAGAATTAAGTAAATGCCACAAGTATAAGTATCTAAAACCAAAAATTAATGACTGTGTTGTTAACAGAGTAAAGAAAGTTTATAAATATATATATATATAACAGAAAAAGAATAAGATATCAAAAAGCTGGAGCTGGTTCTAACTTTTAGTAGAATGCCAAAAGAAAACAACAACTGTATAAACAAAACATTCTTACACGTGAACCGCATTAAAATAGTAGTTATCTCGAGATCGTAAACATTATCTAAAGAACAAAAAAAGTTAGGTCACAATACATCCATCAACAACTGGAAGCTTTACAAAAAAAAAAAATGTAATGAAAACAGGGGTGTTTGGGATCAACAATAGAGTTGCTCCCTGCACTGCTCGTTACAGCTTCCTCCCCCAATGCCCCTGACCTCACCCGCGGTACGTGAAACGGAAGAGAATAGGGACGAGCAAAGAGAGAGAGAGAGAGAACGAAAACTTAGAGGATTACACAAATTTACCGAATACATAGAGCCCGATCCTCCAAGAACTCCGAATCTGGGAACTGTATTGAAGGAATCAAAGTTTTTGCCGGAAAAGTAGCAGTGCTGGCCACCATAGAAACTCCCCGACCCTGTGCTTGACCCTGACGAGGGCGGGGAACCAAGGGCAGCGGTCAGTGGGTATCCAGGCTCCACAAAGCTGTTCTCCTCTTTGATGGACACGGCAAGGGGTGATCCCCGCGGACACCTTGTGAAACCATCATCAGGGTGGTGAAGTTCCAAGCAGGACTGCATGTGCTTAAATAAGAAGCCTTTGTGTCTCGTGCACGTAACTTGCCAGACAGGGGAGACCAGAGGCACAACAACACTGCACAAAGCAAAACACTACCGTCTCGAGCAAGTTCCAACGTCTTAAAGACGCTACCGAGGAGGCACGAGTGCGAATTGGTTGGCCACTGCGAGAGATCTGACTGTCGGAGCCAACGCAATCATTCACTCCAAGCTCTGTGGACGAACTGATTAGCCGCGTGCTTCAGCTAAGAACCGCCTGCTACCCCGTTCTGCCTCTGTATAAGTTTTACACGAGCAGTCAGTCGTCAACTTGTGCTCGGCTAAACTCCCGAGCCCCGCGGTAAACTATGGCGTTTTTCTTTTTTGGTTCTTGTTTCCAACTCCTTTCTGACGGCCACAGAACAGTCAACTCAGGTGCTGTGCAGAAACACACAGACTAGTCGTACAGCGCCACCGTCACTATTTGCTCTGGTTTCCAAAACTACAACTGCCGGGCTCAAGTCACGTGCGGTAGCTTCTTGGCCGCCCCGTCACACAAAATTGACACTCCTAGCAGGCCTTCTTCCCCCTCTCCCACCCCCCTTTGAATTTCCTGCAGGGTCCTTCCTTCTTCTACGATGGCACGGATGGATGCCCACACATCTTACACATTCAGTACTAAAGAACGAATGGAAACGATACATGGTCCGAACTACCATAACATTAGCTACTTAGTATAACTTTGAAAGACTAGCTATGTTCCCCAGTCTGAAAACGCAACCCCCAATCCCTTGACACAGCGCCCCTTCCCCCATCAGATCACTGTACAACACCTGTGTTTAAACCAGAATGTTTTTTTTGAAATCACCTGTTCGTTATGCACACTATGTCGAAGTTATCTTTAAGTGGAAAAACTTGAACCGTGGGGTTTCATTAGCATAACTGTGGGGGTTTCATTAATATATTACAATTTTCGACTAATGTTAGTCTTATTTTTTGTTTGTTTGTTTGTTTGAAGTTAAACATAAAGATACACAATGGGCTATCTGTGCTCTGCTCACCACGGGTATCGAAACCCGGTTTCTAGTGTTGTGAGTCCGTAGACATACCGCTGTGCCACTGGGAGGGGGCAATTTTCAAGTGTTTGTTTGTATGAAGTTATGCACAAAGATACACAATGGTCTATCTGTGCTCTGCTCACCACGGGTATCGAAGCCCGGTTTCTAGCGTTGTGAGTCCGTAGACATACCGCTGTGCCACTGGAGAGGGCTCGCCTTATTTTTTTAGAAGAATTAAAAATTTTATTCCTGGCATAACACAATTGAATTCAAAATAAATATTTAAAAAAAGTTTTTAGAATCTAACAGTCTTCGGCGAATTTTCCAAAGTTTTTACTTAAGCCTGTAAGAGTTTATAGAGCTTTGGAAAAATATCTCACAATCCCAGTACAACCAACCGTATTTTGAGAAGAAACATATAATCGCATGCCCGTAGGCAGGGGAGTAGGGGGCGATAGCTCTCCTAAATTTCACCCGTATATACACAAAACATATTTTCAAAGTGTAAGAACAGCATCGGACACCATAGAAATGCACAGTTAGCAATAAGAATTACAAAAAAAATAAATTCCGCGGTATTCCCAGCATGGTTTCTCCACTCATTGCATTTGTTTATCCTCCTTTAGTACTAAGTTATATCAAACACTTCTAACCAGTTTTGTTGCACAAGATTGGCTGCTTTATCTTGCAAGTTACTTTTTACTCTTAATAATTACATAATAATTTATATCAAAAACGAAGGCAGGTTAAAAAAATTAACTACGTGAAGCACTGAGAATAGATCTTTTCTAGTCTATCGGGTTGTTTCATTATTAGGAATATTAAACCACCGAAAAATCTTGTTTTTGTAGAACTAGAATATAATTAAGAACCGCCGAGAAGTCACTTTTAAGTGGCACCCCCTAGTGTTGACTTTTTGTACTATTTGTTATGTCCCCATTATTTTTTAGTTTTCCTTCGGTTTTAATACAGGTTAAAGCAGGTAGGTCTTCAGTAGATAAACTGTTTAAACAATAACTGAACTGCTGTTTAACGGCTCCACAGAAAGTATAAGACTATTTTAAGAAATTCAAAAGAAAAATATCTTCATGAGCTAAGGATCATTAATTGAGCTTGTACAATAAGCTAAGTTAAAAAGTAAAATATTATCGGAATATCTTAATCTTCACGTATGTTATTCTCTACTCTACCGGGGCATTCAGCATCCGATATGAAACGATCTTACTGTGAGCAGGTGTGTCCTAAAATAAACAAGATTTACTGTGTCCTGGTTCCAAGTAGAAGTAGAACCATATTAGTTTATAGACTTATTGATTATCGTAATGACAGTGAAGACAGTCAGCGGCAGTTTTTATGTGGGAAACTTAAACTTTACCTTCTTATAGAATGAAGTTTGGATGGAACAACCAGTCAGGTACGTCTAGAAATTTACTTGCTTCTGTCACAGGAAGAGTTTACATTTTGGAGAAAATATTCACGAAAATGTAAAATCAACCTATTTGCCAATAATCAATAGTAGTTCGTTCGATAGCCGAGAAGAAAACGGTTTCACAGTAAACATACATTTAAAGTGAGGCATCCTGGTGGACAAGTATGAACTACACAAATATTCGAAATCTACTCAAAATTGATGGCACCCTGACTGTTGACAGGTACAATGAGATTATTTTCCATTGTTTTATTACCTCAGGAACAAGAGCTGCTGCAAATATTCATATTTCAGCGATTCTAGCATGTACACAATGTGGTGAATGATACCAGGGGAAAAGTATTCTCGACCAGGGCTAGGGGTTACACAAAGTCCAGATATGGATGTAATTAAGGGTGCATGGGTATATATGAAAACTGAAGAAGTCAAACAACCCGATTACTGATTGTTTGTGGCTTCTGTATCTTTATCACCTGAGCATTTACATACTTATTTCCAAAATTGTATGTAAATTCTAAGAATCCGTTAGTGAAAGCAAAGGATAGTACATATCTACCATATTCAGTGCCGGGGAGACCTTTCGCCAATACCAAGGCTCATCAGGCCGGCCAGGAAAAAGAGGAACTTGTATCATCTTCTTTTCATAGAAACACACATGTAATTACATTGCATGAAGGCATAAAATTATTTATTTTGTATACCAGAAAATTACTGTGTATTTCCAATTAATATGATATACGTATATGTACAGGTTTGTGTGTACAAGAGTGACAGATTCACCAGTAAAGTATATATATATGTGTGTGTGTGTATTTGGTTTAGTTTGTTTTGAATTTCGCGCAAAGCTACAAGAGGGCTATCTGCGCTAGCTGTTCGTAATTTAGCGGTGATAGACTAGAGGGAAGGCATCTAGTCAACACCACCCACCACCAACTCTTGGGCTACTCTTTTACTAAAGAATAGTGAGATTGGCCGTCACATTATAACACCCCCACAGTTGAAAGGGCGAGCATGTTCGGTGGCAGGGATTCGAACCCGCGACTCTCAGATTTGCGAGTCGAGCACCTTAAACACCAGGCCCTCAATTGTGTACGTGTTTTTCTAGTAAGAGACTAGGTGATCACGAATAATATATACATGCTTTATGCATATTCCTCACAAAGTTAAAACCTGAACGTTTAACAACCTGGCTGTGGAGGTGTCTGGTCTATGTAACACGTCGTTAGTTATTTTGCGGTTATTGTACATTTTCGTGACCTCGGTCTATCCAGGTCAACACGACCAGACAGTTGAGGCTGGTAGAACCTGTGACGTAGTCTTCTATTTTATTAGTGTTCAAGTAAATCTTTGTCGATTTTTTTCAGGAACGTTTACATTCCTTGTGCTGTCCAATTCTCTTTCAGCTCAAAACACACGAATATAAAATGGAACGTTGTAGGCCTCCACAAACAAACACTGTCCGGTGTTAATGGTGTTTTAATTCCAGGTTTCTCGCTTAAGTCGTCAAGGTTGACAGCAACTTGGCCTTGCCTACTATACTCTCAGACTAAGTCAACGTCAACAAACTCGAAATTGATCTCTGGTAGAAGGCAAATTTTGGCATCATGCGAGGAACAGACAGACAGGCAAACGAATTTGTTGAAAGACAGAATGAAACAGTCGTTAGACACACATACTTAGATAGAAAACGATTAAATAAAACACGAACAAGTGAATAAAATAGATAGACAGATAGCGGATGTATAAAATTCAACACCGTACCTATTTAATCTGCTTACATTTATTGAATTGGTTTTTCTTGTTTAGCCGTGACCACAGCAACTGCGCGTGACCCAAGTGACTGTGACCATTTTTAATGAACACTCTAGTATTGAACGAACAATCGATTTCAACATGTGTCAAATTATAACAAAAGAAGGCATCTCTCACGGATGCAGCATTTAAAATTTGCAAAGCAATACTATATATATAAAAAAAAAATCCCCTAGTTCATAAATTCGAGTTTACATACGAAGTTCGATCTCATAACTAAGCCTTTTATAGAAAATTGCAGCTAAATATGAGGCAAAATCGAATATTGAGACGTGGCCTGTGATTACAAAAAAAAATATTGTCTGTTCGTTATTAAGAACAAAGCAACACACACCTGTGTTCTGCCCACCACGGGTACCGAAACCTGAATTTTAGCGTTGTAAGCCGTGAACCACCAGAGTCTGGATATACTGACTTAGTATTCTTAATTTTCAAAAAATGAAATAAAGACTCGGCAATAGCAGTCTGTGTAGATCGAGAGATTCTGCCATACAGGTTATTAAGGTTTTTACAGTCTGTAACGCCCCCTGCTGGCTCAATGCTAAGCTTAGGTTATATGCCCAAGTTGAGCACAGTGCACATAGACCATTGTGTAGCTTTGCTCTTTACAAACACCAGCCTACAATATAATAGTTTCGTTTTGAGTTGACTGATTAAGAATATTTTATTACAATTTACAGCTTTTACGGTAAACAAGATTTGGTTTTAGAACAGGTACGGTTTAAATACTAAAACGTTCTTTATAGTTAAAACCTGTGTACTTGAGAAGTGATCCAAACGTCGTACCTGTTCTAAAAACAAATCTTGCTTGTTGTAAAAGCTGTAAATTGTAATAACATAAATCTAAGAGACTATTGCCTCGACACGTTCAGTAAAAACACAAAAACAGAGGCTCTACCTCGCGGCACCTTCTAACCTCATGATTTGTAGGTGAGGGTTTATAACTCAATCCTTTAACACCCTTCAAATTCCACCGCTC